AAGCCCCAGGGAGGAAAGTGGTGCCAGAAGGTGAGTCACATGTTTCTTAGTTCAGGATTTGCTTATTTCCTGTCAGTCTCCATGGACTGACAGAGTAGAAGTTAGCAGCATGAGCTAACTTCTAAACCCAGACACAGAGACTGGGTTTCCACATCAACTCTGCACAAAACCTTCACCAACTCACATGATCTTTTTGAACTTCAGTTTCTTTTTTTCAAACAAACAACAGACCTACCCTACTATGATTATTAGGAAGATTAAAATCAGAATACGGCTGCAGTTTAAATGAAAAATGATGCAAATTATGTCAGTGTGTGAGCATTGATTGCAACCCTGCCATTAGCATATTAGTAATGGGTTTGGAGCTGGCTTGGTACAGTTGATGGTCATGTGGAGATGAATGTTTCTATAGATACTGCGCATTGCAATTCCTTAGGCAGGTTCAGGGAACAAAGCCTATTTCAATAATTGGCTCATTTGATCTTTAGAATAGCCCCATAAAACTGGCTACCTTTCATAGAAGGGAAAGCAAAGGCTGAGATTTGTTAAGTTGCTTCTCCAAGGTTAACGGCAAATAAACAGGACTAAAAATTTGGGGTCAGTTTTTCTGATGCTCTGTCCACAGCTACAAGGTGTGCATCCATTAGACTGGGAGCTACTGGAGGGCAGGTACAAGTCACAGAAAATTGATGTATAACTAGAGATGCATATAAAATCTCAGAATAGACATTCATATTTATACTCAAGACACTCCAAATACACTCTTGGAACAAAAGTTTCCATTTGGACAGGCAAGGAAAGTTTGGCAGAGAGTTCAGGCTGGACTAAGAAGAGCTGGGCAAGGGAGCAGGGGGGCAGGGGAGCAGGGGAGAAGATAGGGTCTGGCTAGAACCATGGATGGTGCCAACTTTGAATACACCTCCCTAAAATTTCCTAGTTCTTATTTGAAAATTAAAATGTGATGGACAGGTTAGTGTAGGATCCAGACAAGTCCAGGGGTGCAGATCTTGTGAAAAGTCCTCCATAACTTGGCTTTGTTGTTTCCCTATGCATAAGCGCATGGCCATGCTTTAAGCTTTAAGGGACCATGTTCAGACTCCAGGAAGTGTGTCCCAAGGGATAAAACTGAACTATATGAAACTTGTGTGCGCATACATATAATTTCACGCTCCACAAACAAACATTGAATTGCAGACTTTCTTGTATGTGAGTGGCTAATGAACACCTTCAACTACTGAGACATGCTGGTTAAGGCAATAAGACTTGATCTTTTCACCTTAATTTGCATGAAAGGCACAAAGTGCCCCATAGTATGAAGTTAAGAAAACATAGAGTTGGTCATGCAACCTCTTGACTGCTGATTTTGCAGGAGTGGGGAGGATGTCTAACAGTTCTAAGGGGAGGAGGCAAGGAATGAAGATGATCAGGACCGCAGTGATGAGTTAGTGATGAAGGTCTCTCTTCATGTCAGGACTTAACATGGTCCTCATGAAAAGGAGGTATGTTTTACTACATAATGACATGGGGTACCAATTACAGAACATTCAGAGCTCTAGATGTGATCAACAGATCCAGAAGAAAAAGATGGAGCCACTATCTAGTGACAGCAGAAGGATGGATATTGTGTAGTTGGTGTGGCTAAAACCACACTGGTAGTTAACTCTGTCAGTGAGGGGCTCCAGGATCCCTTCTTATAATATTCATATCATCCTGTGTATGTCCATGCAATCCTAATTCCATATGGTTCCACATTCAGTATAGCCCAGTTCAAACAGCCAAAGATAATGCAAAAAGAATTCTAAACTTTAACTTATCTTTCAAACTATAAGAGAATCCCATTTAAATCACCCACCAACATCTCATATCCCTTTCTCCTTTTCATTTCTCAAGATCACCCTCCCCCCATTACAAAACAAAACCAAGCAACAACAAAACACCTCTCAGGTTTTGTTGATATTCTCTCTTTTCCCTCCTGTATTTTGTTTTCAGTTATCTAAATACACATTAATTAAGCTTTTTTCATTAAACCATTCCCTTCATCCTTGGATCTCAAGCCCATTCTCTGTCTGTCTTCTAGTTCTGTGTCATAAAAGGAAACCCCTAATAGGAAGAGAAGGACTCTCTTTGGAGAGTGGCAAGGAAGCTCTAAAGTCAATGATCACAAACCTTCAGGGGGAGAAGCTAGGGACATCTTATGTTTGCTGGAAACATCTGTGGCTATAGCTTTAGGCCAGTGGACAGGTTGCAGCAGGTGTTGGCCTCTGTGAATTCCTGAGTCCAAGCACTGTAGGTGATGATAGGACACTGAGGAGATGTTAAGGAGGTATGTTTTACTACATATGTAGTATCCTGAGCTATGGTGATAAGCCTGTTACTTGGAAGCTTCTTTGACTTGAATACATCTTCCTTTGAGGTAGATGTAGATAGTATTCTGGCCAACAGTAAGTTGGTAGAAGACTCAATTAATCAGTGAGATATCTATCTATCTATCTATCTATCTATCTATCTATCTATCTATCTATGCATGCAACTGGGGGTAGCTGGGAAAGAAGAGGTGCACAGAAGTTTGCTTTCCTTTGGGGCATCTCTAGACACAGGAAGGTATTGTAGGTAAGTGGAAAGAGTGCAGTCCTATGTGCAATTTCTCTCTTCCTCCCCATTTTCTCCTCTTCTCCTCCTACCCTCCCCTCCCATATGTAAACTGTTCCAATCAACTAGGCCAACAAAATGTCTTAGTTTCTTCAAAAGATGTCATATATGTAAACACTGAGTAGCACCCCACAACATGAAATGCCCAGGTTTTGCCTCCTGGGGAGAAATGGTGATCATGTGATGCCTGTTGATTGGGTCTGATGGACAGTTTTGATAGACATGAGAGATGATAAAGATACTCAGAAGAGGTTAAAACTACCACAAAGATCTCATTTTATAGTTGCTCCCACCCTGGAAACATAAAGCCTTTTCCTCCCTCCCAAAAAGTCACACGTTTCAGAAATAGCTGTGAGAAGGAAGTGAAATTTCTTCACAATCTCACAGACGATGGTGACGTGGGTTAAGCCAGGCTTTAGAAAGAGCAAAATTGGAAGAGCGTATCTGATTTACAAATCAGTGGCAAAGAATAAGAAAATTCCAGTTCTACCAAAGAGGTATTCAGTTCCATTATTTTGGGTGGACAATCCCAAACGCACCTCTGCCTCTAATACATCTGTAATTCTAAGAAACATTTCAATGATTGTACACGTACAACATGCTTACTGCCCCCAGGGAAATCAAAAGTCATATACTACCCCATGTAATAGCAGCAGACTAGTCACCGGGACATATAATGTGGCCATGTGTTATCAGTGATGATGGTGATATGACAATGTAGTGTTGACCTTAACCCTTTGAGGGCTCTTCACCCCCAATATTAACATAGTACCTTCTGTTACCGCTCATTTCTCCAACCAGAACATCAGAGGCTGGAGGAGAACCTTAGCTCTTAAGCCATTCTGCTGGGAGCTTGAGGCAAGACATGATCCTATTAGAAAATAAATGTCAAGAAAAGATGTCCTCACAGTATAATGTCCTGGCCAGAGGCAGGTACAACTGATCCAAAGCAGAATCATGAGAAAGAGACAGAGGGACATCCTGGTGCTTGCATAGTCAAGAGAGGGTTGACTGGACCCTAGTATTTCTAAATCACTGATCGCTGGAAATGGGGATATTGCTTTTTTTTAAAAAAAATTCTGCATTTTATATTCATGTGGTTCCTAAGGTAGACGCTGGAATTAGTTGTCAGGGGTACTCTGTCCCTTTGTTTTGGTGGGAAACACATTTGATGAGCATTTTTCATCCTACAGATGGAAGCAAGTTCCCAGCCCTTGTTCTTGGGGTTGCCCTGAACTTTGTACATAAGAAAACCCAGAGTTTCAGGCTGAGGTGTTGGTTTGGTTAATAATGTAGAAGGCTTTTTTGCCTGGGAGCAGGGCACAATACACCACATAGTATTATAATGTGGATAAATGTTTTGTTTGCTATGACAGACTGAGGAGTGGGAAGGTAGAGACTAAGGTTGGGGTCCTGGCATTGAAACTGAGAAGATGTGGAGGTGGGAAGTAGATGTGTTAGCATGGTGGCAGGCAGGGGCTAAGGACAGGGGCGAGTAAGACTCCCTGTTTAAAGGAATAACCAGTGCACCCTGGGGACAGGGATAGCTGATATTTACCCTTTGTATTTTCTTCCCTCTCTGTAATTTTCTTGTGTTATCCTCAAGCCTTGTGAATGCCTCTTAAACAGAAGATGCTGGTGTAGTAAATCTTGGGAATACGGGAGGAATCAATCTGCATGCTTGCTTTTGTGAGAAATGCAACTGGAGAAAACACACAGTATGAGCAAACTGGTAGCTGGCCAGAGGAGTCCAGGGAGACATGCTGTTGAGAGGTGACAAGCAACAGCAACCCTGCTGGGAAGGTTTCGTGGGACAGGGCATAGTACAGAGCCTGTAATAGGACTTGTAATTGGGAACTCTTACATGATTGTAGGCTTTATCTCTCATGGAGAGGGCAGCCTGGGATGCTATTATTTGACCAATGGAAATCATGGGCAAATGGAGGTGAGAATGGTAAAACACTACTTTCCTGCAACTGTGTTTCTGGACTCATCTATGTTCCTGGGGCTCCCGAGCTATCTTGATGACACGATTGATTGCAACACAGCAGTTAATTCCTAAAAGACTCAATTCATGATACATGGAATCCCATGGCACATCACAGTGGCCCAGTCATAGGGACCACTGGCCCATAAGAAACTGGCCACCTCAGGACCACCTGCCAAGCAGGCAGCATGCACCCTTCAAACAGCAACACAATGAACCACAGCTGGCCCATGTATTTCAGGACCTCAATGGTTGTATCAGAAGATCCCTGCTGGACAATGATTAACAGAGCAAAATCCTGGCCATACAGCAGTGATGGGGTCACCGCGGGTCAGCAGAGTCTTCCGGGCAGCAGCAGACTCACCTCCTTTTGATGGTGAGCATCACACCTAGGAGAATGATGATGAACATGAGGAGGCCAGCGATCACGCCAGCCATCTTCACGGTGTTGTCCACCTGCTTCTCTGGCTCCACAGTGTTAGAATTCTGAGTGGAGGCACCTAGGAGGGGAAAGGGAAGGACAGCAATGTTGAAAGCACCCACATATGTGACTAGACAATCATCATAATGACAAGAGTTTCCTTTAGTTGAGTGCTCACTATGTGCCAGGCACTGTGCTAAGGGCATCACATGCATCACATACATTGTCCCATGTAATAACTTTTGAGGATCAATTCCTTGTGAGGTTGGGATGATCATTACATTCTTCTGAGATGAAGAAACTGACATGCAGAGAAATTAAGTGAGTTGCCCAAGGTTCTCACTTGGGTACCTGTGTTGAAGTGTCCTTTTCCTTAAGGCAAATCAAGTTAAGATTTTTTTCTCTCTCTCATATTGCTTTGTTTCTAAGATCAAACCATGGAACATTTCCTGGGCTTGTGGAATTATTCCTAACCCTACATTATTCTTTTAGGTAAATGATGGAAATAATAGCTTTATGTTGGGGCAACACAATTTAAATCACTAGATTTTTAAAGATAAAAAGAGGTTTTTGTTTTGTTCTTTATAGGAAACAAACGGTAGGGTAAAAAGTCTGTATATTCAAGGGAACTTGAATACACCTTGGGTTCAAAAAAACACTTAAATCTGATGAATTCCATTTTTAGCATTTAATACTAATGCAACATACTCTACCAGGTGTTAACTTGCTGACATAATCCTCAGTAGAGGAGGCAGGTAACTGGCCACTCACTATATCCTTAGCCCTGTGCTGGGTAACTTCATGGATCTGGCCTGGTCAATCCTCACAAGCATTCCCAAAGATAGATGAGATATTGATTTTCCCATTTTATAGATAAGAAAACCAAGGGAAGTTGCCGAAAGTCACATGGCTGATAAAGGTAAGGGCCAGAATTCCACAGGTTTTGTGATTCCAATTTAGACCTCAATGGTCAGAACCCCTGAATCCAGCTCTCATGTCATCTAGTTCCTCAATCCCTTCTTCCTAAAACAACCATTCTGCTTATGCCATAGCAAAGTAAGCAGGCAAACAATGCCAAAAACCAGTGTCTTCATGCTATGTACTAGGGATTAGAGGCAACATCCTATTTCAGACATTCTAGAGAGTGGTCCAAGGGTTACCAGCACCCTAAGTGAATTTCCTCCTGCTTCTGTTTATATTCCCATTGGTGCCAGCCTTTTAAGTGTGAGGCAGCTTAAAAGTCTAAACCACCCTTTTCCTAACTCATTCCGTCTTTTCTTCCACATCTACATCACCTCATTCTTCATCAGCCAATATACTTTCTCTGAGTCTGTGCCCCTGGGAGAGTTTCTCCCTCTTCTCTAAATTCTATTAACACTTTATAACACTTTGCACATGCCTCACAATATCTCTTACTACAATGCACCAATATTATTAGTTATTTGTTTTCACATCTGTCTCCTCCAGTGGTCTGCAAACTCCTCAGGGGCAAGATTATGCCTCGTTTATCTTAGTTTTCCCATGTTAGCACAGACTCTGACTGGTAATAGGGCTCCCTAAATGTTTGTGGTTGTTTAGTGTTTAGCTAAGGGGATGACGTCTCTGCCCACACACATTTGTTCTCATGGAAGCAAATTGAGTTTTCTCCTTTTTTAAGTCATGTGTTCATAGAACTCAGCGGAGTCTTGAGTTGAAGGAATGCTACTACCCAAAAGCTATGGTCCTGATTCCCCAAATGCACTGATATTTAAGCCCTCCAGCACAATGATGCACCCCTTTTTTTTTTTTTTTGCTTAAGAGCATTAAGAGTTTCCTCTCTCAGAGCACTTTCCCCAAGCTGTTGTAACTTAGACATGTTGGCTTTGCTTGGTCAAGTCTCTAGTGAGAATGCTAAGTCACCCTATTCATTTCTCTAATGCCAGTGTCTAGCACAGGCCTCCCTCCTCATCGTTGCTGCTTAACAGATAATTATAACATAATACGAGGGTGAGTGAACCACAGTTGTGTGCTTTATTTATCCATTCAATCATTTGTTATTTTGCCACTGAGTGGCCATGTGCTGTGTGCTAAACTATGCTGTCTGTAGAGTCAGAGATTCTGTTCCTAGAAGGACTTATGGATAAGGAATTTTATTAATTCCTTTCACAAGCTAATGGCAAAACCAACTCATCAAATTCCAGGGCTGACTGAGTAGACTCTGCTCAACTACAGCCTAGAGAATTCCTGAAAGAGTTGTCCACCACCTCTTTAGCAGGGCTGGTCTGACATTCCGGGATCGGGGGACCAGGGCTGGTTCTGAGTAGCTCCCATGCAGCCCCCATTTCCCAGGCTGGAGACATGACTTCTGAGATGTGGCTAATCCACAATGTAGCAAGCATAAAGGAAGGGGAGAATCTCAGATCCAAATTTCCTCAATATTGATGGAGTCTTTTTATTTAGATTTGGAGGAAGGGTTGTCTCTGGGGCATTCACTCATTGGCACAGCCTAATTTTACTCAGTGTGCCTGCTACTAGGTCCTGTTCTAGAGACTAGGAGTGCAATGGCAAAGAGCCCCTAGAGAGGATCCTATTACTCTAGGAACAATGCGATTAGCTTGGTCTAATGAGACTCATACTTCATTCCTTTAGTAAGTGATCATAAATACCCACTATGTGCCAGGCATTTGGTGATACACTGGTGAGCAAAACAGGTACAGTTCCTGCTCTCAAAGAGTCTACAATTAGTGGTGGTTGGGGGTAGAGGAATACAATAAATCCAGAATCAGTAACAGCAAACTTGAACCCTGTTAAGGTTTGAACAGAGAAGCACATGACACTTGTAAATAGATACTTGCATAATTTAAAAAAATGAATTGCTTCTTGGAGCAATTCACCCCTAATAGGGGTGAGCTCCAAAGGAAGAAAGGCTGTAACCAGGCAAAGGGATCATGAAAGCAACATATGGGAGCAGCAGGAGAAATAGCCTTTGCTAAAGCTGTGCAATGGGGAAAGTATCCTGTTGTGCTTAAAAAAAAAAAAAAAAGAAATGTAGTATAACCAAGGCAAGAAAGCAAGGAGGGAAGGATGAGAAAGAAGCTGGAGAGGGCATCATGCATCAGTCCACACAGGATATATTATGGCCCCAATCAGGGCTTTTGTTCTTTAACTTAAGGAACACAGGGCACCATTTAAGTGTTATTCAAGGAGCGATGATATGGTCAGATTTGTATTTCCAACAGATCATTCCAGCTTTAGTGTGGAACCAAAGTGGATTGGTGAAATGAGTTTTGAGATCACTGCAGGCATTCAGATGGGAGATGATAGTTGCTTAGACTCAGGTGATGACAGTGAAGATAGACAGATGTGATTAAAGAGATAATTACTTGAAATAGCTATAGATAAAATCTGTTGATGGCTTGGATATGGGGAATAAAGGAGAAAGAACTGTCAAGAATTACTACAAATCTTTGGCTTGCATGATAGGGTGGATGACAGTAATGTTTACGGGTTCCAGAAACAATGGAAAAAGTATAGCTTTAGGGGGGAAATATATCTGGGGCAACTTGAGCTTGAGATATACTCCAGAAAAGTATGTAGTCAAAAATGCGATCTGGAGCTCTAAATTAAAGGTCAGAGCTGGAGGCAAAAATGTGTGAGTCATATGCACACAGATGGTATTTGAAGCATGGGGGCCTGTTGATGAAATCACCCTGGGAGAGAATAAAGAGTGTAAGGAAAAACAGACCTAGAATAGAGACTTGAGGGTCTGCAGTATATAGTGAGTAGAGGGAGATAAGCCTGAATGGGGAACAGGAGTGACCACACAGGTAGGAAGTAAACCTGGGAGAGTATAGCATCCTAGAGCCAAGAGAAGAGAATGTTTCAAAAAGGAGGGCATGATCAACTCTGTCAAAGGCTGTTCCTAGGGTAGAATCAAGTCCACACACAAAGGAAAGTGAAGATCTTGGATGAGTATTAGAAAACTTTTCCCAAAAGAATTCCAAGACATTCCTAAATAGAAGCAGCTTCAGCAATGACCGTAAACCTACAAAAGAACATACTTGAGGGCCATGGAAGAACATTCAGGGGATTTGGAGAGGCTGTCTGAAAGTCCAGAGCCCAGAGGTTTAGACAAATTCAATGAGTTCAGCCAACAGGTAGCAGAGCTGAAATCACAGACTTTACACAGTGAGGTTTTTAGAAAAATCCACGCTTGATTGGTCTAACCAGACATCAGATACAGGAATGTGAACATTCCCTGGGATAGGGAAAATCCAGCTTTGGCATTCTTTAGGGGAACTTGCCCTAGTCTCTGGAGATTTGTGCCTCTGTTCATAGCGGAAGTGTGTTGACTAAAGCCAAGACAACATCCATGTGTGGCTCCTATATCTGAGGGATAGACAGAGGATGGGAGGGTCCTGCTTTTGTGGCAGTCAGGTCTGTCCACAAGGATTATATCTTAAATGCTCAGTGGAGCAGGATGTGACCTGTGATGGGAGTCATAAGAGAGCACATCAGGGTTGGCTACTGATGGGGCCCCTGGCAATGCGGTGGGCTTTCACAGATGCCAGCAGTAGGTACACATAGAAGGCTATCTGTCTGACTCAGTGGCCCTAAAATCAAAAGGGACTTTTCAGAGGGCTATCCCACTGGAAGCCCTTCAGTGGGATAACACCTGCATTACTTTTACCCTAAGCCTACTCTTTCCATGAGAGTCAGGCTTAATATCAGTCTAAGTCCCTAAAAAGCTGTCTCTGACTCTGGGTGACTTTGGTTTATTAAGCAGGGACTGGGAATTTGGGAACTGAGAGAAAGAGGAGGAATTTGGATGCATCTTCCTCATCTTTACCCTCCAGAGGACCCAGTCTGAGAATAGGCCAAGTGAATCAGAATTGGCATCTAGGCAGGCACCAGAAGGTAAAGTTCTCCAATTGGAGAAGCTTTAAGACTCTACTTGAGTCCCCTGTGTGATGTGATCATCAAAAATAATCTTGTGAACTCAGCTTGCACTGACAGGAGACTCCCTCTCCAACATCACGCTGCAAGCCTGACCTTACGGCACAGCCAGCTGTGTCCTCTGAGCTCTGAGCGCTCCCAAAG